GCTCTTAATTAACTACTTAGCTCTAGTTGTTTAATAAATTATGTGTATATGTGGGGAGTATGGCATGCATATGCAGTACCTACAGAGGCCAGAAGAGGGTGTCATCCTCTGGCGCTGGAGTTACGGAAGGTTATGAAGCACTAGATACCATAGGGGCAAAACTTTAGCCTCCACCCCAAGAACTGGGATGACCATGACAATAGGATCTTAGTGCCAAAGTGGGAAGCTTTTGAGGGTCACAGATGTGATGGTAAGCTAGCTGTCTGCTGGAAGATCAGCTGGAAGCCAGGTTGTGTTGGATACAGCCTGGGTTTCAGAGGGATACAGTTGGATACAGAGGGTTTCAGAAACATCTGTCATGAAAAGCCAGGTTCTCCAACACTTCCTGTTTCAACCCAAGGCTCCTCCCAGCAGAAGTATGTTGAAACCATCTGCCTTGCTCCAGGAGCTCCCCGTAAAACACCCCAAGAGTTGCTGGTCTAGGGACACTTTCTAACGCCACCCTGGTTCTTGAGGGCAGAGAACACTGAACAGTTCACACCAGCTTCCCATGGAAGGCATAAGACTGATGAGAGGGGGTCCTTTGAAGATCCAAAAGAGGAGGAAGCAGCTCCCTGCTGTGCTGGTCTCTTTGAAATGACATTTTCCTCCAAGGTCAAGAATGCATTGAGCAGGCTGGAGAGATGGCTCAGCGGTTAAGAGCACTGACTGCTCTTCAAGAGGTCCTGAGTTCAATTCCCAGCAACCACATGGTGGCTCACAACTATCCGTTATGAGATCTGGTGCCCTCTTCTGGTGTGCAGATATACATAGAAGCAGCATGTTGTATACATAATAAATAAATAAAATCTTTTTTTAAAAAAAGAATGCATTGATCTTTGCAGATGTTCTGCAGAAATCCCCCAGTCTAAGCCGGGCTTTGGTGGCGCACGCCTTTAATCCCGGCACTCCGGAGGCAGAGGCAGGCGGTTTTCTGTGAGTTCAAGGCCAGCCTGGTCTCCAGAGTGAGTGCCAGGATAGGCTCCAAAACTACACAGAGAAACCCTGTCTCGAAAAACCAAATAATAAAAAAAATAAAAATAAAAAATCTCCAAGTCTAGAGGTCAGATCTTCAGTCTACTCTCATGCTGTGGTGTGGATATTGAAACGAGAAGGTTGAGTGAAGCCGAGTGGTGGTGGCACACGCCTTTAATCCCAGCACTCGGGAGGCAGAGGTAGGTGGATCTCTATGAGTTTGAGGCCAGCCTGGATAGCCAGGGATACATTGAGGAACCCCATCTCATGGGGGAAAAAAAGGAAAGAAAACAAGTGAATTTTGGATTAGAGAGGTAGCTTAGTGGTTAAGAGCACATGCTGCTTTCCCAAAGGACCTGGGTCTGGTTCCCAGTGCCCACATGATAGCAAACAGCCACCTGTAACTCAAGTTCCAGAAGTTTCAATGCCCTCTTCTGGCATCTGAGGGCACTGCAGGTATGTGATGCACACACACACACACACACACACACACACACACACACACAACACACAGGCAACACACACACACATAAAATAAAAAAATAAAAAAAAAAGAAAAGAGAGAAGGTCATTATGGACTCATCAGCCGTGCCTCTGTGATTGGTATCTTAGGCATGGGCAGAAGATCACAAAAGGCACACTGCAGAATGTGTGGACATCAGAGGGACCCAGGCTGGACTGTGAAGTGGACAGAGACGGAGAGCCCTTCAGTGAGATGCCTGCTTGTGGTCAGAGCAGAGAGAGTGGGAGGAAGGTGGAGTGAGGATTTACTGCAAAGCCGGGATGGGGCTGGCACATCCTTCCATGTAGAGTGCCAGTGAGCTCCAAGCACACGTGGGACCGTGACTCACCCATGTGAACCCCTTCCTCCTGTTGCCTTATGGCTACAGGAGAAATGTCACGGGCAGTTGGCTACTCTGCAGTGATGGCTCCCAGATCTGCTCAGCTTTGTACCCTGCCAGCATGGGTGTCACCCCTTCAGCTCTCCAGCTACGAAACCCAGCCATCTGCTCCCACGGACAGCCACTCTGTTATTTGTAGTTTAATTCTGTTGTCTTTTGTACAATTTCAGTTTTTAAATTTTTGTTAGGGTTGGTTTTTATGGCCCATGTGTAGTCTATCTGGATGCTTCATGTGCACTTAAAATATACATCATTTGCTGTTTTTCTAGGTGCTGCTCTGTGCTCTGTGTCCATTGGGTGCAGCTAGATGATGCTATTGTTTAGTACATGTATATCCATATTGATTTTTTCTGCTGGTTCTCTTTCCCAGTGTGAAGAATGTTGAACACTCCAGCTATGTTTGTGGATTTGTTTATGCCTCCATCTAAGGGTCCTTTTGCTTGATCAAATGAGCTAGCCAGGCTTACACCTCCATTTAGTTTTGCCAGTTTTTTCTCCTTGAATTTGAAGCTCTGTCTTTTAGCACATACACATTACAGATAGTTAATGGTCACATCCTAAAGCTGACTTAATACTGATATGGAGACATAGTTTTCTTTGTTCCCTACTAGTGTAGTGTGAGTTCCTGAATCCACCGCCACATCATACCCAGAAGATAGCATTATACAGTACTCCTCAGGCTCTTACATTCTTTCCACCCTCTCGTCTGTGATGTTCCCTTAGTGTGGAGAGGGTGAGACAGATGTCCCATTTAGCGCTGGGAACTCAATGGTCACTTACATTCAACACTCTGACCAGTTATGAGTCTCTGATTAACCACTGCCTACTGTAAAAAGAGGCTTCTCTGACCAACGCCGAGAGCAGTACTAATAAACATATTTAGATATAAACATCAATATTTAGAGGGCGGGTTAATGGACACAGTATGCCCCTTTATCAAAACAATAGTAGTAGCTTCCCCACTAGGGGCTATGATCGAATCATGGACTTCTGAATGGGCTTATAGTAGAAGGCATGAATTTCCTCCTGTGGCCGAGCCTCAGATCTGATCAGTGTAGTGAATCACCCCAGAACAGCCATGCTACTATTGCACAAGTAAACATACCTTGCCTGGCAGCTTGTGGGATAGTGTGCATGATCCACTGCTAAAGGAGAAGATTGTTGCTGACTTTTCCCTCCCAGCTGTCTAAATAACACCTAGCACCTTTTAACACTATGAATGAACCCCAAAGGCCATAGGTGTGGCCTAGTTGGAGTTGGTGTGGCCTTGGTGGAGGAAGGGTGTCACTGGGGGTGGGCTTGAGGTTTGAAAGCCCATGCCAAGATCCCCCCCCCACCCTTTCTCCATCTGCCTGCCTGCAGATCAGGATGTAAGCTCTCAGATATGTCTCTAGCATCCTGTCTGCCACCATGCTCCCCACCGTGATGATAATGGACTAAACATCTGAAACTGTAAGCCAGCCTGTTTTTTTTCTTTTTCTTTTCTTTTTTTTTTCTTTTGTTTTCTTTTTTTTTCCGAGACAGGGTTTCCCTGTGGCTTTGGAGGCTGTCCTGGAACTAGCTCTTGTAGACCAGGCTGGTCTTGAACTCATAGAGATCTGCCTGCCTCTGCCTTCCGAGGGCTGGGATTAAAGTTGTGCGCCACCAACGCCCGGCTAAGCCAGCCCTTCTTAAATGCTTCCTTTTATAAGAGTTGCCTTGGTCATGGTGTCTCTTCACAGCAATAGAACAGTGACTAAGACACCATCCAACACAGAGGAGGCTTTCAGCTTGATTTCTCAACATTCTACAACCAAAGCATATAGGATCTTCAGCAATAAGGTCTTACTATCTAGTTCTTGAAGGCAATCTAGGACAGTATAAGTTGTCAGCGAAGTCTACCCCCTTTTTTGAGATGGGATCTTGTACTGTTGCCCAAACTGGTGTTGTAGGAATTTAGCAGAGTCACTGTGTTAGACCCCCGAAAACTCAAGTATTCGGGGTCCCAGGCCACGTTCTCGGTCACCCCAATCACCAGGCGGATTCGAGAGCTTGCTGCAAACTGCACGAGGCTTTATTGTAATTTAACGAGCTAACCCCATGTTAGCTCGGGTCTTTCACCCACCCGCCATGGCGGATAGCTAGA